GAGTAACATAGCTTAGAACAATTACAAGTCTCGAAGAGATAATCAATAATAATGAAAAAATCAATAAATAATAAATTTAAAGGAAAAGAACTTATCGAGCGTTTTATCGGTTTCTGTTATAGTTTATTCTTCACTGAGGAAAAAAATGATTCGTTAGACTAAAAATTAGTTTAGTTTGTCTTTATTTCTTTCGATGAAGAATGTATGTATTTAACTAAAAAAAGTATTATGTTTGACTTAAATACATACATTATTCAACAAAAGAAATAAAGACAACTAAACTAATTTAGTCAAATGAATAATTTTTTTTTCAGATTAGCAAAGATTCGAAAGAGACTTTTATGTGTGTCGCATTACGCATTGGAAACTAAGGAACTGCGAATTAGTGATCCGAATTCGACCAGTCAGATAACTTTAATTTTAATCCGTTTCGTTCTGATTGGTTGAATTTTAATTTTTAATTTGCAGTCCTCTTTAATGCGTAGTGTGACTCGGGTTTAAACAATTTACGACTCCAAATAATGCGTGTTGAGTTTTTCGCGCGTGCGAGTGTTGCAAACGGTACATGAAGCTGGACATCTAGGCATCTACGCCCACGAATGTCTTCTCAAGAAATAAAAGTCAACAAAAAATTCAAAATGGCTTTATTTTGATTCGTAATAAACAGTCAAATTTTGCAGCCAGAAATCATCATTTTAACTTTCATATGTGATATCAGAATAATGTCGTTCCGACTTTGTCTCGACTTACATTCGTTTCTACCCGTGTTATTCAATTTTAATCTTGATTTAACTGACTCTTCATCTTTTTCTAGTTCTGCAAATTAAAAAGGGGTGAAGAGTAAGTTGAACCGAGATTAAAGTTAGTCTATATTGGTAAAAATGAGCATTAGTGTGTTTCTTGGATTGCTCACATACGCTCGCTCGTTTAATCCTGACGCGGTGCTCAATGCACGTCTCGAGCTCCACCTCGCTCAACAATTCGCTGGCTTTTTGCGCGAAACGCGACAGCGCCCGTCGCCCATCCCTTAACGTGCAAAACGCACACGCTCACACCACGTGTCACTCAAGTGCTCGCAAGGCGAGAGGCATGTCGCATATCGCGTGAGCACGCATGCCAATAAAGTCGAATTAGTGTCGCTACGTACCCGGTGGTTGGAAAACAATGCGGTCTTTCTCTTGCTCGAGACGGAATAACGGTCGTTACGGAATACCTCGTTAAAGAATTCCCTTGGCTTAATCGAGATTCATTTCCGTGGCGATTTACGTTTACGTAACGAGCGAATTGCTGCTCTGAACAAGAAAGCGGCTAATCATTCCCGGTCCGTTTAGATTTGATCGGCAATGGATGAAAATGAAGAGTGAAGAAAATTTGACTTGAAACCTGTATGAAATCGTAATAAATTAGCGATGGCTTTCTTCTATTTTTTTCTTGTACGAATCTGCTGGTCTAAGAGCCGGTTGTTCCATCTTCGGATAAATTATGTAATTGATTTACTAGATAAACGAAAAAGTAAAAGAATAAGATTATAAGGAAGTAAGAAAGTAAGACTGTGAGCTGAAGTTTATTTTAAAAAAATTTATTTTTGAAAGATAGAACAATTCAGCCTTAATAGTATAATTATTTATTTGTAATAAATAAGTAATGCCTATTTTTGTAATATATATTTTAAAAATTAATTGGTTAAGTATATCTAAATAAATAAGGCTTGGATCTTGAGGATTTTTTTTCTGTGCTTGAAATAGAACGTTTTACAGGAAAAGAAGCGGAGAAGTATATGAAAGGCGAGTAAATTAACCGCCTTTACTGAATTGATAACTATAATGTAATCAGATGAATAATTATTCGAGTAAATGCTACATTGGAGAATTATGCTAAAGTCCTGTTACACCCGATATATCGAGGTATCTTATTTTAAAGATACACACTCGCTTTCCGCTCTTTCATTTAATGTATTTATCTCGCGGCGGGCGGCTTTGCCGTAACGAGGTCCCATTGAGTTTCTAAGTCACGTATATATGCGCGTTCATTTCTATACTTTTATCGAATTGTTTACTCACCGCGTTAACGAGATAGTCACGGAGTGATTAATTAATAGCAGTCACTCCTCCTGCGTACGTCTATCCGCCGATTAACGACAGAAAAGAAGCATAGACGGTGCCGAACCTTTATTTCATTTCGAATTAATCTGCGTTACGTAAACGATTACAATTTGATATACTTAAGATTAA